AAATGTAATATGTAAGTATAAATGAAAACTTTTATTACATAGTGTATAGTTAATATGATTACACGAAGAATTAAAAGGTTACGGTTTTAAGTAGACTACTGATTTGACTCTGGCTTTCACTATACGTGCATTGATCTCATCACTCACGCCACCACCAGCACTTATGCAGCTACCCAGATACACGAATTTCTCGACTACTTCTTTCTGCTTACCATCCAGGGTGAGTACAGGATTAGAATCCTGCTAGTCTTGTAGAAGTACTTTGCACTTCGAAGGTGCAAAAGCACATACCGTACCTACGGACATTGATTATCAACTGATTAAGTGCGGATTCCAATGCTTGGACATTATCGCACAGTAAGACAATATCATCCGCTTACTCAAGGTCAAGAAGTCTTTCTCCATGCAACAGATCCACACCCCCGTTACTTACATCCATCAGAGCTGTTTCCAGAATGTCATCGATGGCAAAGTTGAAGAGGAATGGTGAGATTGGGCAATTATACAAACTAGTCAAGAGATAAAAACCTAAATCTGAAAAATGTTTCAAACACAAACTGGGACTTGTTTACATAGGAATCAATCGGAAATATAACAGATGTTATCTTCAACTCTGATTAAACCGCGTTACTTTACATGAACATGAAATGTTGAGAAAGACTACAAAGAGAATTCTGTTGAAGTCATAACAACAAGTTGCCTAACAAACCAAACGCTTGGTTCTTATGTATGTTGGAAGGCTGTTATTCATGTGGTCGATTTTTTGGTTTACTTACAAATATAGTTGTAGATAGTCATCCGAAATCTTGAGAACTAGCTAATGCTTATTTATTAAACAGAACTATTCGCTTTACCTACAAAATTTTCCTTAATCTATTGTTTAGCACAGATAGATATGAGTACATTAAATTCATACTCAAAGAGATAAACAAAAAACTCCATAATATATTATTTGATACACGAACGACAAGCGCAGAACCAAACATAAACCTTCGCGGTTGAAAATACAAACCTATTAAAGATTTTTGCAAAACATCTCAACGACTTTCCGTTGCATATATACATTGCGATGTACAGAAACAGTAGGACAAACTTTCTGAAATAATTTATGGTGAGAATTCTTACTGTATTGAACAAAACACTGAATAAAGCGACTAATATTACTTTTCAGCTATTATGAAGGCGACACCATTGCTGCTAACACTTGGTATCCAAAATTGTTTGAATATTTGTTGCTCTTAAAAAACAGTTTATCAGTTTAGCTTTCTCATAATTTAGACGGTTACTGCGAGAAGTAGGTTCTAACCAAGCTCAAGGAATGAGTGGTTTTACAACTGATTATTTCAGAAGTTAAACTATAAAGTGACGACGTTTTGGATACCAATTGTTCTTTAAAATTTTGTGAGGAATTTATGTACAAATGACTTGACTGCTGTACAGGAGCTAGCTATTGGTATATTCTGCGCAAAACATTGTAAAACCATATTCCTACATACAATACTAAATAAAGCAATTGTTACTATTACGATTTTACAAAAGCGTTTTTTAAGTATATAAGGGAAAAACTAAGCATTATTATTAACTTCTCGCGTATGCATAATGTTTTTAGTAAACTGTTTTCTATTATTATATCTCTTACAATATTACTCGGGTGTTTAGTGAGATGTGTAAGTTTTAATTGATTGGATTTTTTGAGTTTTCTGTAACATAGCACTTACTTTTGCGAAATACTTTTTAGTTAGATGAGTCATAAAAAAGTACACAATTACTCTTACCAATAGGTGTTACTTACTAGTTCTAACGAGAACATGACTCCATCCACACACCACTTGTTCTATTTCATTGTTATCAAATAATTCGGCATCATACCAAATAGGAGATGAAAGTCTACTTTCGATATTCGAAGAAAGACCGTGAACTTCTGATTTGAGTTTAAAAAATCGAGTATCTCCAAAAAGAGCCAGTTTATTTGTTCCTAAAGATGAAGAAATTATAAATTCCTATTAAACCAATAGATAAAAAAGATTACACTTACAGGAGCTTATGACATACTTGTTTTCGCAATTGAATGATGTGCACCAGCTGCACAGTCGACCCACTCATGTGTATCGCCAAATACAGAGTTCAGTAGAGTGGGACGGTAACATATTTGTTTCGATTCGTCATAATCCTCAGCTTTAATCATTATTTTATCAAACAATAATTGTTTTCGGTGATTAGAACCCCAACCATACAGTTTTCCGGAGACTGAAAAATAACTTGCTTTAAAGAAAACAAAAATCACCTGTCACAGAAACGACATGCCTTAGACCTGCAGATATAGATCGAACAGGCTCTACATCAACACGAACCTACATTTGCATCATATTTACCCGACAAAAACTTACAGGAATTATGCTTGAATTAATACTTTTTGTACCCAACTGTCCATACTCATTTGAGCCCCATGAGAAAACAGATCCATCACTTAGTACTGCAACAGAAAAATCCCAGCCACACGATACTTTATTAACAGTTGATGCAAAAGAGTAAGGAATAATTTTAAAGTGGTTGCAGTCATTTGAACGACCCAGCTGACCAACAGAATTCAAACCACAGCTGAATATATTGTTTTCTTAGTACATAATATTACTTTGTTTTTCATTTACCGTCAGAAATCAGAGAGTGACCACCACCACCGGAGATCAGGGCGATCGGACCAGTGAAATTAATGATTTTAGGTTCATAAGCATCTTTATCATCTCCTGTACCCAGCTGGCCATGGCTGTTTGCACCCTGTAAAATAATATTATTGCAAAGATTATGATAAAACGAATTGAACCCACCCATGTAAGCATAAGAAAGAGGAGACTTAAATTGTTGCCTGAGTTTCAAATAAAGATAGGTAGAAAAGAAGTCGGTTTACTGATGTATTTGGACAGCTGATTTACCACAAGATGCTGAGCAAAGGTAAAAAACAAAAGGCTGTTACCTTGAAATAATAGACACTAATAAAATGAGAGTTATTCAAATACCTTAATTCGTATTAGTATGAATTAAAATGGTGCACATGGAGATCCGTTGGAAAAACACTGGAGTGACGAACACTTAGATACTCAGAGCTCACCGTTTGTTTTCATGAAAACAAAAACTTATTAACTTTTATAGGATATTTACTAAATTAATCGCAATCCAATTTGTTTATAATTAACGACGCACATAAAATCTGGCAACATGGCACCAAAAGACAGAACATGCCACAAAAAGTATGGATAACACTGTAAAAATGAAGCACACTTAAGCCATACAAATATGGAGACAAAATTGTGAAAAAAAGAGTAAGGAGGAAGATCATAATTAAAAATATATAAATGGATAGATATGAGTGGACGAAAGTAGTACATAGTAGGAAAAACAGTACAGTTAGAGAGAATTTTCCGTTATATCAGTTTTGTGTTTTTACGAAGCATTGAAAGAAAACTACGGTAGAAGTGCTATTTGTTTCTAATAGTACTACTACTACACGCAATTGTATATACATTTTAGAGTAACTAAAAACACATTCCCAAGAACATTACGTTGACCTTCCGATTACAGAGGTACATAATTCAAACGCTAGATATGAAAAGTATTTCGGAACAAGACTACTTGATTACGTCGATGAGACTCCTTGGTTCATAATATCCGTTCATTGTTTTTCCGACAATAAACCATAAGCAACAGCTAGGATTCTTCAAGACAACCAAAAGACAACTGTCACTTGATAAGTGTGAAATTTTTGAATGCCAGGTGTTAGGAAAGTTTGAGGACTTGCATGAGTAGTTTTCGAAAATTAATGAAGAGTGACTACATTTGAAAATTGTGAGCATAATGAGAACTTTGAGTGTTTTCTTGGAGTCAGTCGTGGTACGTTTCATGAAGCATATAAACGAATGAACAAGACAAATCTGAAACTTCAGCACAGAACTCATTACTGCATCAGCTGATACCACTCAATGCCAAAACATTATTTCATGTATAGAGGTTCCTTGTGCGCGTCAAAGTTGTCTAACGCCAGTGATTGAGTTGATTTTCATCACATAAATTATACATGACTTAGAATTTAGGTGAAATTCCAGCGTTCTCCCTAATGTCATATGAAAATTTTCAGTCTGTGGAAATTTTTGGTTTCCCGCGAAATAACTTGGAATTCTGTGGGAAAACGTAGGCCGTAGGAAATCTTGAGGAAACAATTCAAATTGCCTGGAGGGACTGTTCTCAAAAGTGAATGTTAAACAATTATTTACTAGAAAACATTGCAAGAGTGACGTACTACTTTAGATCACGCGGCTGTAATATGCAACATATTCAAATTCAGATTTGTGTAGTAAAGAGAGAAGGCCTACAGCCTATGTTATTTTTTTCTAGTGTGCTTCTTTGAGTGTCCAGTCTTCTCTTGAAAGAGTCAATTGTAGGTGCTGACACCACTGCTTCGAGCATCAGGTCCCAAGTATTGATGACTCGGTGTGAAAACCTGTATGCCACGGGTATTTTGTTCGTTCTTGGTTTTTCTATTCGCCTGCTATGTCCTCTGAGGTGTCCCGATCTAGTGGAAAGAAAAAGAGTGGGTAATTTGAGTCCAAAATCATTTCTCAGTATTCTATACATCAAAATTAGATCTCCCCTTAATCTGCGATAGGACAGAGTAAAGAGGTCCGGCTTTTCAAGTCGCTCTTTGCCTGGTAAACCCCGGAGTTCTGGAATTGCACGGGTGACTGCCCTCTCTACTTTTTCTAAGGTATCCGAGTCACATTTTAAACAGGGGCTTGCACCCTGACTCAGTTCTCTAACTTAGTTCTCACTAAGGATGTGTATACCGTGGTGAACATGATAGTATCTAACTTAGTGGATGTTCGTTTTAAAACTCAGAGAGTTTAAAACCCCTTAGCTGTGACCTCCCGGCAATCGGCCATCGTCTTAAGATCATGACTCGCTGTCATCCCTAGATCCTTATGAGACCGGACCGCGGGTAATGACCCTTCCCCGATGTTGTATCTATTAACCTTCGAATCCCCATAGTGCATCTAGACACACTTTGCCGCATTGATAGACTTCAGCCACTCTTTAGACCAGTTAGTCATATTATTTAAATCTACCTGAAGAGCACATGCTTCTGTGTCTCCAGTTATTACTCGCCAGATCTTTACATCGTCAGCGTATAATAACATTGGAGACTGTACTATACTTGGAAGATCATTAGCATAAATTATGAAAAGCAAAGGACCTAGGACGGAACCTTGAGGTACTCCACTAAGTACTGGTCTCCAGATAGAGCACTTGGAATTTATTCTTACTTTCTGTCTACGACCTTCAGGAAATCCTTAATCCATTTTAAAAGAGGTTCGGCAATACCCTGGTTTTCCAACTTCAATAGCAGTTGGCACCTTGTCAGAAGCCTTATTGAAGTCTATGTAGACAAGACCCACTGAGTTTCCGTTGTCTAGCGCCTTTATCCAAAACTCCCTTGCTGTAAGGAGGTTCGTTTTATAATATAGATCTTTTCATGAACCATGTTGTTCTATATTTTGGTCTGGTTTTTGTCTAGAGGAGGTTCCTGAGTGAAAACTGCCCTAAAATAGTCAGCCATAGCCTCTGTTTTTCCTGATCTTCCTCTATCATTTAAGATTCACTCCCTTCTTTAATCAGGTTGGGAATCCAATGATGCATCCTTGTTCTGTAGTTAACGTACGAGAATATTCTCTTAGGCTGCTTGAGTGCAAATTGTGCCAATTGCATTTCATATTTTCTTTGGGCTTCCCGAATTTTGTTATACACTTGTTTCTTACCGATCTGTAGCATTCCATAGTACCTGCTGTGCCAAGGCGGATGGCAACATCCCAGCATTTCTTCTTTTGTCTTAGTAAACGCCGAGTATCCCAGCCTATCCAGGGATGGCCGTGCTTCTTCTTCTTTAGAACTGTCCAGGGTATGTATGGTTGAGTTACCCGATTGTGTAACTGCCTGAAAGAGTCCATGCCTTTTGTACTGATGCCTTTGAGTCAATTTCCAGTTTTCAGCTGATACTGCGGAGTTGATCGCCTCCATATCTGCCTTCGATATATTAAGACGGGCCGGCGAAACTGTTTGACAGGCAATCTCAGCCATGAATTTGAATAAGATGACTGCATAGTCACTCCTCCCTAGTGGTGGGAGAAAAGTCATTTGACCAACATCATCACCGTGTGTGAAGTTTAAGTCTAAGAGAGAAGAAGAGTTTCTTGAGTCATATATTGTGGGGTTTCTAATGTGTTAGAATAAAGCTAATCCAGTCAAGGTTTCTAACAGCTTGTAATCGAACGGTGTTATCGATGACCCTACTTCTAAGTTAACCCAGTTTCACAAATTGAAAACCCATAAGAACGAAGTTTCTTTCACCGTTTCGGCGACGCTCATTTATTTCCACTTCTGCAGGCAGTTGCATCATGACAACTCTTCAATTTTAGGATTCAATCTATTATTAATGCGGTACTAATAACGAAGTAGTCCATAATTCTACAATATCATTAATCATCGAAGCATCTTTCAAGACTAAGAAGGAGGAAATCACAATAAATGTTATCCAGTGGTATGCACCAACCAACGATGGCAACGACGACGATAAAGATCAGTTTTACTCGAGGCCGAAATCAGTCATAGCGAAGTGCTGAAGGAACGACTTGACCACTCTGATGGGAGACTTAAATGACACTGAGTATGAACTTATCATAGGACGACATGAACTGAATGGAGTAAAGGAATGAAAATGTTCACAGTTTTTCAAATTTATGTGTACTCGGCAAAATGTTTATAGGTGGCACTATATTCCCCCACAAACCCATACATAAGGCAACATGGGTCTCACCGGATTACAATACACGGAACCCGATCGTCATGTTTGCATCACTAAAGTATTCACAAGTTCAGTGGAAAACGAGAGGATCAGGAGAGGAGCTAGCATAGACCTGGATCACAATCTGGTAGTTATCAAAGTGAAACTGAAGCTAAAGTATCAGTGGTGTAGCGGAGAAAAAGCATTAAATAGTTTTATACAGCCTTTTTTGAAGATGCTGACAAACTCAACATATTCAAGATAGCTCTCAACAGCAGGTTCCAAGTTCAACAATATCTACTCAACAAAGAAGTAACTACTATGCAGGACAACCGAAAAGGTGTCAACGTAAGTCTCTACTGCTGACTCCTTTATATTTGATAGTGTGTCTCGTGAAATAATGTTCTAGTTAAGCAAACCACAACTCGGGGTTACTACGATTGAGTTCTAAAAGTCGAACTTTCACAGTCAAATCAGTGTCTATCTCCACTGGTAATAAATCCTCCAAGCTTTGGGTTTTTATTGAGTCTGACATGAAGTATGTTACCAATATAGTAATATAATAAGGACGAGATTTTAGAATTATGGTCTACTTTGATGTTATTACCATTACAATAATCGACCTAATTCTTAAATTGTAGATATGTTGTGATTGTTATTATTATTATTCAAAAACAATATGGGTACATAAGTGTTGTGAAGAAACAATCTCGAGTTTCTTGAAAAATGAAATAACACACAGCTTTCAATAATGTAAGAATTATATTTGCCATATTTGAAAAAGAAAGTGATTATACTAAGATATTAATAATAAATCAGGTTCTGTGTAATTGAAAAGGATATTGAATTTGTTGAACGATGGACTACTATAATATTAGTGCTGCTCTAATAATAGACCTAATCCTAAATTTGTAGATTTGTCATGATATAACTGCCTAATCTATAAGATCTTACGTGGAAGTCACACCATCGACTACGCCAACTCACTGTACCGTATCAATTACCAATACA